ATTAAATAGGTTATTCTACGTCAGCGGTGAAGCGTGTGAAGGGAATGTTGGTAGTGCTCATGGCATTAAAGAAAAAAAAGTAGACTCTCGCCTATCATCACTGTGAAATTTGTCACTTCATTGGCAAACAAGACGAATTAACCAAATTAACCTGCTAGAAATGAATACGGCAGTGGCTAAATCCTGTATGTATGTACTGTCGCCCTTTCGCTTTTGGGAAAACGACCATAGGACAACACAGCTTATCAGAGGGGTGAAACACTTCACAACACTAAATCCTTTTGGGGCTTCTGGCACCATTTCCCAGCCCTTTCATCTGGCTCCCTGATGGTCCAGCTATTACTGTACTACCCCAGTGTTTTTTGAGGATACTCCGTTGGTGTAGAGGCCTAGAGGCTGCTGAGATCTGTGAATGCTGGCACTATCAAATAGCATTGGGCAATTAGATGTACACTGAAGAACAAATGTGGCAAACATTAGACACAACAAGGCCGTTCACGTATGAATACGTTAGTGGTTAAAATGAAAGCAACGTTGGTTCAGATTCACGTTAAACCCTAATTAGGCTAAAGGCATCGATCTTCTGAGTTCTAAATTGTTTGCCTAAATTGCTTGATTCGTATTTACAAAAAAAAAAAAAGTTCAAGATTAGTTCAGCTCTATCTCAGCATATTATTTGATTTATTTTTTTATTCAACTAGGATTTTTGTTGTGTTATTCGCAGAAAATGAAACGCAAAAACAAAAAGTGAAAGTTGCCTCGGCTTATCTTTCGTTATACGAGGAAAAAAGAGAGAAAAATACACAACGACGCACTATTTAAGAACTCGTGTATCTTGTTATGATTACAACTCAAATGAACACTTAGAATGCTTTTACTGTGACATGTGCCACGTGAAGTTTTCTCAGTTGTGAGAAACATGACAGAGGCGGTTTCTCATGTAAGTGAAACACAACGAGAGGCCCCCATTCTACTTTTGTGGTGAAAGGTGACATAACCCATAATTCCACTCTAACCACAAAGTTCTTTGATCAAATGTTCCTCTGTGATGCTGGGAAGGGGATTCACATGACATAAAGGAAACAAATGATGGAGCATAGATTTCGGGAGCTTTAATCTTGTAAATATTTTTTTAAATAATTAAAAAAAAAACTTTGATTTGACTATCTGATTGAAGAACAACACCAGCAAAAAATAAATAAAAAATACCTGAACTAAACGCAAAAAGTTATAGAAATATTACTGTCACTTGTGTTTTAATTCCTTATGAACTGTAGAAAAGCAGTCGACCTATGATTGGTTGAAGGGGATGGCCCTGAATGTGCCAGGTAAGTAAATAAATATATTTTTAGATGGGAAATTTTGCAAACATGCCTTAATAAGGAGCTACAGAGAGTACAACATTAAAAACAGTTCATTGCAGTCATCTGCACCACAAGTACAAGTGATCATATGAAAAGGGGAGCGGTGAAAAAAGTAGAGACTGCTTATAGCTGTCATGCAGCATAAAAAAGGAAAAAAGAAAACAGATTACACATTAGCATAAGTAGGAAGACAAAAGAGGGAAAAGGCGACGAGGAACAAGACACAAAATAACATTGTCAACAGGACCCCTAGTGAGGAATTCCTATTTCATTTATTTAATTATCCCTGTCAGATGGAAAAGAAGTGAGACAAAGCTGTCTTTGTTCTCCCTCTTCATCCCCCGCATGTCTGCCAATTAATTTCAGCATGTGAATATGACTAATTGTCTCTTTGCAGCCACATAAATAATCATTTTGGTCCACGCTGGAGAGGGGGGTGGTTACTTGATGTGGCAATTTATGATATTTTACCACAATGGAATGTGCACAATTCAGGTGATCGTGTTAGCGAAGTGATGCAACCGCTTTGTAGGCATTGCCCTCGGCCCCAGTCTTGCAGTGAGCAGAATGCTTGCTGTACTTTCCCTCTTTTGTAAACAAGAGCACTTGGAAAGGTTCTTTGTTTGGAGCGGGGATATTATCATCATAATTAGACAGACAGATTTCAGTGATGACTTGTAATTGCATATTCATGTTTTGTTTTTGGGCTTTTTTTAATTTATTTTTTTGGTATGAAGAGTAATGGAAAAAAAACATTGATTAAATCCAAAGCATCCATAACACAACTTTGCAGATTGTTTCAGATAATGTACAAAGTTACATGGGTTTAATGAAGGGCACTTGTACTTGAATGGTTGTAGCAAATAAACACTTCTTTTCTACTTTTCATCTACACTTGAGTGTTTTTACCCTCTCAACAAAATTCTTGAGAACAGAAGAGTATTGCATTGAGGCTTGATTGATTGATTATATATGCATTGAATGATTGTATATTTAATTAGTGTCCTATTCACTTCAAGAGGCCTTGTGTTCTTCTTTGTCTGGAGGAAGGTCAAACATTTGCACTCTTACCGAAAAGATATTACCATTATTTACTGACATAGGAATAACAAGCCCTTACGAAAGGATAGCGCTAAAGTGATGTCTTCTATTTGTTCGAATAATTTCTTCAGAATATTGGCCAAACCTTAACACAATGGGCTCTATGTTCCCAGACAGCGCAGCTGTGCTCCAGCGTGAAAACTCACTTATCCCGATTTTCGTGCCCACGCAAGCCCTGATGCGCCTGTTTGGGAATTTGGTTCATTTCTCGGCGAAATGATGGATGTTCCTTTGACATGTGCTCAGCGCACCTGAAAGTCTGGTGGCTCATAGTACACATCGACTTCACTTCTGCTTGATCCACATGTAACTATTGGAACGGGGAGTGTAATGCTCAAGCTGCAGGCAGACAGATTCTGAGCTTTGCGGACATGTCAGCGATATCATTGGATTTCATTCATCAATATGACAACCGTCTGCATTGAACCGTTGTAGCATCGCTGTAGAAATCAATTCATAGAATGCAATATTATAATCATCTTTGTTAAATATTTTTAAAATCAGTCCACTGGAATGACACAGTGATGGCCGGTGTGGGTAGTTCGGGTGGGCACACGGGGACACGTGTCAATGTGGAAGGCGGTCTCCTAGTGCTCACTTCACAGATCTGTGATCGCCAGAGTCAGCTTTATATCAAAATCACCTATAGAGGTCAGCTTGCAATTTCTTGTAAACATACTTTGTGCATCTTGGCTTGCCATAGGAATCAAGAAAGCCTCATTTTTATTCTGCCATGTCAGTAACACTCAGCAAGACTCTTGCGTGCGGTGCTGAAAAAAAAAATGAGAGAAGCCGCTTCGATTGGCGCCAAATAGAGTCATCTGTGTTCACGCCCACAAGAGTCCAAAACACCCTTTTTTAGATGCACTACACAGCGCCCACTTAAATGGGTGTACCAAAATACCAAAATTTAGTCTAACTCACCCCTGTGCAGATTTACACTGCGCCTCAGTACCACACTTGCACTGGCCATGCGAATAGAGCCCAATGAGTAAAACATCATCAAAATAAATTGCAGCTTCATAGTCACTTATTTATTAATTAAAAGGAAATTGTCTGCATTTGTTACGATTAAAATACTTATTTAAGTTTTTTTTTCTTCACTGCAGGAAATACTCTGGATTTAAATTGAGTTCCAGTATGGACAGGATATTTATTCATGTGTGAGAACAGAGTGTATTTACACAGTGAGGGGGTAACGTCGGTCTTAAATGAGAGGAAAAAAATAATTTTCAGGTGTAGAGTGCATTCATTTAGGTTTCATGTTTTACTGTAGTTGGAGGACATAGTCCCTGTGAAAGGCATGTTGTTTCCTGTCTGTCTTCCGCTGATACCCAATTTTCAAAAAAAATCTTTTTCAAAGCAGCCACCTCACACATAAAATCATGTTGGACTCCCAGAAGTGAGGATGGGCGCCAGGAGGCCCAGCACTCAAAATGAAATGTTACTTTTGATATTTAAGGCATTTTGAACATAAACTAAATCAATGGGGTATCTGATCTACGATTTTCAGGGCAGTTGAAAAAAATATTTGACTTTTTTTTCGTAAAGGGGAAGACATCTTTAACCCTGTATTTTTTTGTCTCTCTGAAAGTAGCCGACTTTGAGGAGTTGTACATGTCTCATGCAAATGACTCACTTTTCACCCTGCTCCTTCTATAGCGAAGTCAACCGGAATTTCCTGCATTACGCAGAAATATGAACCAAATACCCAAACCAAGAGCAAAGAGGCTTGCAGTGTTTATGCTAGAGCCATGTAGTCAATATTTCACCATTACCAAGCCATTGAATCACATTTGGAAATTAGTGTGCAGATCTATGCATGTGGTGGAGCATGCAGCGGACTTATCGCCGAGTACATATACCTCTTTACACACACACACACGCACACACGCACACACACACACACACACACACACACACACACACACACACACACACACACACACACACACACACACACACAAAATGACTGTCATTATTATAAAGGAACAGCAACCACACACCATGATGGTTAGTGCTCTTTTCCGTTTTCAATAGAACATGTCACTTTTTTTTACCCAAATTGTGAACCATTGTCTTCTCCCAATAATCCAAAGAATTATCATTTCAATGAGCAAAGAAGCTCTCCCTGTGATCGTTTTGAGACTTAATAAAGTTTGTTGTGTGAGAGCCTGAAACTGAGACCCGCTCGAACAAACTGGAACAGCTGTTAAATCCAAGAGTTTTCCCAACTTTCCATCCATATACATTTGCATTTTTTCCTCAACAGTCAAGTGTCCAGAAAACACCTTAACAAAAGGAGTTAAAAGAAAAAACACATAATTTGCATTTGGTGTATAAATAGTTCCAGGACAAGGGCTGTTAAGTTTGAAATTAACATTTAAACAGTTGGAAAGTATGCCATGCTACCCCTTATCCCTTCCCTTAGACCCCCCTCCCCTTGTCAGTCCCAACGCACCCCCTCCACTGAATCCCTTTTAGTGCCTTGATAAATATACATAAAGCTTCACACAAAGACCGTCTTGTTCCTTTAAATGGGATACTTTTTAATGGAGACATATATTTCCAGGATTATATCAGCATTCACTTGCAAATTTCTTGTTTTAATACTCCAGTTGAGGCAGTCTATGAATAAGCGTATCATCTGAATGCAGGGAACACCTGGTCCTGAGGGCTGGGCTATGAGAGGGCTTCAAGCTGACCTGCTGACAGTGCCAAGACTTCACTTGTTCCCAGGCATTCACATTCTCCCCGACATAGTCCCGTGCTGCAGAATGTGTACATGTAACTATGCTGCCATTTGGCACAGCAAAATGGGAAGATGTGAAGATTGTACAAAAAAAGACAAGATACAAATTTCAATTATTATAAAGGCAATTTTCTACTTTTCACACATTCCCACCAAGGACAGGTTGGTGTCATGTGGAAAATAATTTGTCTCTAGAATATTACAATTGTCTACATTTGTGTTTGGCATATTGGTGGAAGTGAAACAAGATCAGAGTTCAGTATGGTAACGAGAAAAACAATTAAGTTGCAGAGAGAGTTTTTTTTTTACTTACTTGGCTGCATCAGAACACCGGGGAGGGGAGAAAGAGTTGTACTATTTTGTGGCAGAGGAGGAGAGAGGAAGGGGCACATGGTCTATTCGTATGCATCCCACATCCACTCGACACACAATCAGGCCTGTATTGCGTTTTGCAAATTTATACCCAGGATGTTGGTTTAGAGTGTTTCCCTGGAAAAAAAAAAAAAAAAAAAAGAGAAGGACTTTTTTTCAAGTGTCTGCTTTCATGACCAAGAGTGATTGAGGCACACAAACAAACCTTTGTTCCGAAGCTCACAGATGCAAAGCATGAGCGCGGATGTTTTGTGTTCCACCCCAGCTCACATTTGCACTTTTTTTCAGAATGCTCTGAAATCAAAAGAGGTGGAATCAGAAAATAAAATCTGTTAGACATTTACATTGGAATTTGGATGATAATTAAAAATCTTGGGACTCAGGTTTTGCAGAAAGTTACCTTACAAGAGTATCCCAAGCGTATACACAAAAATAAGTGTAGCATCCATTTACTGTAGTTAGTTACACTTGTGCAAGGGTCATTTAATGTAAGGAGCCCATGATTTTTTTTTTTTACATTGGATCAAGTGGGCAATAGTGAAGTCAAGCATGAGGTCCTTGCAGTAAGGTACTTTCCGAATGCGGCGCCAAGTGTACTCAACCAAGGGGCACCATACAATCAGTTATTTCCCAGCAGTAAATTGCGCTTTCAGTTGTGCCATATTAATGTCAAATGTCTGAAAAAAAAATTGTTGCAAAGTTCATAAATCTTTTAAACAATTACATTAAGTACGCCAGGATTCGCCGGATCGACACATTGCTCAAAATTTTGTGAGGAAAGGATTAATTCACTCGTTTGAATTTCATTGCAGTCCAGCAGTATAATCTCCCAACAGCTTGTTTATGTCAGTGCTAATTTAAAGTTACTTTTATGATTAGTGCACTTGACATTGGATAGGCTAAACGCACAAAACGGCAATTTTCATGTATCTGCCATTTCAACCAATAGGTGGAGGGGGCGCAGAGTGAGTGTGAAAAGGAGGTGGAAGAATTCTAGGACTCATATGTGTGTGATTGGCAGTTCCCTTGGCTCCCGGGGTTAGAGAGTTCAGAGAAAAGCCGATTATTCCTCTCCCTCAGGTCAAGCCTTCATAAATAAACAAGGGGACCGCCCGAGGCACGGTGTTTTAGTATGATTAGCATATCATACAAGCTATCGACAAGACACTTATCATATTACAGCACGGCAAGCCGCAGAGCACACAGGGGTTACATGTACAGGGCAGCTGAGCATACATCTCTGTTCATTAGAAAGGTCCTCGGGGAGAGAATAAATCATATCAGCGCGTGGAGATGCCAGTGCAAGCATTTGATTCCAACTCCGTGGTGGATGTTAACAAGGGCCCTTCATAAACTGCAGCGGCGGTAAATTGGCTTGTGTATTTTCCCTCGGATTCAGTGCACCAAGAAAAGACGACTTTTCTATTTCCAAAGCCTTTGCGATATTAGACCAGCCTTAGTTGCTGTTGAAATGAAATTATATTTGACTATGACTTAACTTTTGCTTGAATTTTTGGTTGATTCCACAGCTAAAACACATCACCCTACAAGGAGTTGTACTAAACAGTGAAAAGAAAGAAAGAGGAAGAGATCCAGGTTTGGCACAGGCACTCGGCAGTGGATGATTAAATGAGTCAAAAATTACAATTCCTTTCCATGCCGCATCATATAACTGCTTGATGTAGCAGCAGTCGTCCCAAATCTCTGACACGCTGCTCAGATTTCAATTTGGGCAAACTTCTCCCCTTGGCTCATCTCACCAAGAACCACAATTAGTAGCTCGCCACTCCGACCAAGGAGAAGGAGCAAATGACATCCACACCTAAGCCCTCCTAAGCCAGAAGGGCCAGGGTAGCGAGCGAGCAGCCTCAATGATGCCGCTTGCAGTCAAGCATGGCCTCTTTTGGCGGGTCAGATGCTGGCGAGGGATGCTATGTCCTAACCGGTTTGAGCAGTTTATTACCCCCCTGACAGCCAGACCTGTAAGAGGTAACCAATTGGGGGAAAATAAAGTAGCCAACATAAGTTTATAGTGCAAGACCTGTTTTTTTGGAGTTATAGTTTTCTTACCTAGGCCTCAGTGCGGTAACCCTAAAGCAATCAAAAGAATGGACGTTATGTCACCAAATGCTACGCTAACATAGATCGTATAGCAAGAGGTGAGCCATCCTAAATGGAAGGCAAAGGTTAAAATTGATGCAAATGGAGTTTGTGTGTCCCACGTAGAAACCACCATTCGTATTCCTCATCACCCTGCTGCTTATGTTTCCAAATGCAGGTTTCCCATTGCCCCTTTTGATGCCATTCACCGACCCCGCCCCCCACCCGACTTTGATACCCACCCCCATGTTTCCCCCTCCCGTCGATGCAAATTAGAACTTCACACGTCGTGACAATCTGCCGAGTACTCTGTGATTTTACACGACCAATTAAGGCCCACTTGGCAGTTGTGTGAACAGTTTCATTAGAGGAGATAATATTGCAAAGTGAAATGATAAGCAATCATTATGATTAATGCAGAGGCATTACATTGCCCGTTAATGAGGTGTAAATGATCTCATTATTTTTGAAAGAGTACAGATTAGATTAAAGCGGAGTGGACAGCACTCCTCTGTGTTCAGACAAGTTAGTGTTAATTAGGCCCAATCTCCGGGAGCAAATGAGCCGCAACCCTTTGGTAAACAATTAGGCTTCCCATTGCCCAGGGCAAGATGGCCAAGGATAGGCAAGCTAATAGATAGATGACTGGAGAGACGGATGTTGAGGGAGTATTCAAATCTAAATCTGTGTCATTGTTACAAATTCTCATCGGGAATGAGACAAATGATATGGGTGATGATCTTGGCGGATTCAATAATTAGCGGGAAGATCGTGCTTTTCAAAAAACAAGAAAAAAAAGCAATTGATATGGGTGATGATCTTGGCGGATTCAATAATTATTATTACTTTTCAAAAAAAAAGAAAAAAAAGCAAACGAAATCTCTTCTTAATTTGAGTAATGCATGTCAGCAAAACAAACAACCCATATTATCTTAATAATCAGCACACCCAAACAAAAATACAACTAATCAAATCTTGGAGTCACATTTTTGAAAGATTTTCGATCTTCTGATGTACTTTGTCATAAGTCAAGTCCAATTTATTTACGTAGCCCTTCATCACAGAAGAGTCTCAAAGGGCTTTGTTGATGCATTTGGCTCGGAGCGACTTCTAGAAAAAAAAATGGCACTGTATATCCATCCATCCATCCATTTTCTGAGCCGCTTTATCCTCACATGGGTCGAGGGGGGTACTGGAGCCTATATGTCCATTATGGTGGGTGCACTGACATCGCATTGTCTGTAGCAGAAATTAAAAAAAAAAAATGTAAAAGAAAGTCAATCATCACTTTAGATGTCCAATAGTTTGTGGCTTCCAAAGTTGATTTTTGGAAATTAGTTCAATTGGCTCTTTAGTAGCCCACGCAAATGTATTATATGCCTCCTCACTTGCCATAGTGTGAATGTGAAATGTGGGAAACTAAACGTCACCTAATGTCCAAAAACTGAGATCCGTGGTCACCAAAATTTATGTTGACATCTCTACCTATGCTCACCTCAACCGCTGAAAATATATCAGAATGATCGTTCAAGTATTACCGATTTTTAAGGTGATGCCATTTTCCGTGCCACCGAGACGCTCACTACAAAGCTTATATCACTGAATGAGAGAAGATCTTTGTCCATAAATACAAAATATTGTGACAAACACTGTGATATTTTCAGAGGGTGATTTTGGCACAAGTCAAGATGTCCACAGACAGGTACTTTTTGGTGACTAATAATTAAATTTTCTGACATATTAAATTACATTTTTCCCCTTATGTTGAGTTTTAGATTGTTGCCCCAAGTGCCAGGCTACTGAAGTGTCCTCGGCTCATGTTATTTCATAATGCGTACATATTTTACAGGCATGTCTTACACAATGATACATACAAAACAAACAAACAAACCAAAAAAACCTTCCAGATTCACTTTGCAAAATGTGCATGCAAACATTGACAAACTTGTTCCATACTGGTTCCTGCATACCTAACATTCATTTCAATCAGGCCCTGATTGGCTGTTGTAGATGAGACGGACCATCAATGAAACAAAAATCACCGTTCATATTTTTACATCAGCATTTCACAACTCTAAAATAGCTATTGTGATAAAATATAATAAGAATAAGAATAAAAATAATAAAAATAATCCACATTTATTTTTAGAAATCCGTGCCCCTTGGTGGGCGGGCACAGCTCCCTATGTCACGCTCGCGGTGACTGGTTTGCCTGTGCCTCAGTCAAATACACCCAAATGGCGTTAGAGCACCAATGCTGCAAAATGGACTTCATTTTAAAATGTATTATACTTGTTGTAACCAAATTTGCAGATATGCTGTGGGGTGAAGCGTAGCATGTCTATCAAATTCACAAACATGCTGAATGAGAACATTGCCCCTGCACAAAAATGACAATACGCCGGTTTCTGCATCGAGGTCAGACTACTTTCTGTTACGAAATTATCGCATGAGTCGATGGCGAGAACCATAACACCCAGATGCAGGGAAACCCTGCCTTAAATATGCTGGACCAGTCTTGCTCTGACACGAAAATGAACTTACGTCTGTTTTTACACTGAGCGCAAGGGCACCAGTCTACTAACAGGTCCCTATCAGTAAAGTTCGTAAGCATTGAACTGCTAATGTAAAGTAAACATTTTTGACTGGCAAATACGTTGAAACTATATTTGCAAGTACAATAGAAAATACTTGTCAGAAAATTAAACCTTCCATGCCCTGCTACAACCAGCCCTGCTCTCTGTTTTTTACGTTGAATTTTTGCATGTAAAGACTTTTACTTCGCAACTTCCGTGCCATGTCTGCTTCTGGTTCCTAATTCCACTCGCCACGTGACATATATCCATTCATTATCTGAACTGCTTTATCCACACTAGGGTCACGGGCATGTTGGAGCCTATGCCAGCTGACTTGGGGTCATAGGCGGGGTACACCCTGAAACTGATTGCCAGGCACGAGCCCTAAATGAAGTACAGGTATACATATTTAAAATAATAATGATGGAGTGTGAGCGTGGATGGTTGTTCATCTCTGTGTGCCCTGCGATTGGCTGGCAACTGGTTCGGGGTGTCCCCCGCCTACTGCCCAAAGTCGGCTGGGATAGACTCCAGCACCCCTCACGACTCTTGTGAGGATAGGCGGATCGGAAAATTGATGGATGATGTGCTTTATGCTTGGTTCGGGTGCTCTTTCAAGAAAGTCAAGGAAAATGACACAGTTCCCAACAGCCAATTTGGTCATTTGGAACCAGGGCACAGTCAGTTAGTCAAGGAGTACTTTTTGCATTTTCATTTCCAGAAATTGTGAAGGGTGCCAAAATTA